AACTAAAAAAGATGGAACATACTACATTAATATAAAACTTATAATAAAGGGTAAAAGCGACTTTTTATTGATATGGCAGGAAAATTACAGATCTGAAAACGAAGACAGGACTCATGAAGTACTTTTAAAAAGATCAACTGATGAAAATATTTTTGAAGACGTTATAAAGCAACAGTTTTTAAAGAATACATCAATTGCAATTATTCCAGTCTCGGTTACTAACCAATTATTTACTATTGAAAAAGGCAGCTACATTAGATTTACATATTCTTGGGAATAAATTGTATTCAAAAAATTCCCTTTAAAAATGAAGACACCTACAGCACCGGATCCTTTATATCCAGAATTACCAGTAGAAGATGGTCAAAATTATAGATTACAGAAGATATCAGAAATAGAAAAAAAATTAATTAATGAGAGGGATACTCGTAAATCATTATACAAGAAATATAAACGCGGAATTAATATTACTGACGGTGTTGATACTGGTTTAATATCAACATCCGTTATTTTAGCCGGTACTAGCTTAGCTATTCCTTTTATGTTACCTTTAGGAATTGCAGCCGCTGTATGCGGAAGTTTAGGAGTATGTGTTAAATTTATTAGACGTAAATTACAATCAAAAACAAAAAAACATTATGAGATTAAAACTATTGCTGATAGTAAATTAAATAGTATAAAAGATTTAACTTCAAAAGCTTTAACAGACGGACAAATATCTGAAAATGAATTTAAATTGATTTTAGATGAATTAGATAAATATAATAAATTGAAAGATAGCATACATTCAAAACAAACAGGATTGAGTGATACAGAAAGAAAAAAACTTATTGAGGAAGGAAAGGCACAGGCTTTAAACGAGTTAAAAAAAAAAATGGGAAATGTTTAATTTTATTTAATAAAGTTACAATAGTAAATGATCCACCGCCGAAATATAAAAGTTAACCAGACGTTTTATTATTTTTATTTTTTATTTTTTAACAATGAGTAAAATATAAATACATACACAAACTTTTAAAACGCATTTAAATACAAACTTTAAATTCACCCGGTTATGCATAACCGTTTCTAAATATAACATTGAGAAATACAAACTTTAAATACACCGGTTATGCATAACCGTTTTTAAATATTGCATTGACAAATAGTCCCGGTTATGCATAACCGTTTCTAAATATAGCATTGACAAATAGTCACTGTGGTTGTATGATTCAATGGTATCAATCAACGACCCCATATTTTGATAGAATATTCGATGCTCATTAATCAATTGTTTTTCGGTAGAAGTCCATTGTTGTTCTTGTTGCTGTTCCATATCTGTAAAATCACATATTTCACGTTCTAAAGAACTAAAATCCACTGTATCCTGAGACATTATGAAAGTTCTTCATTTATTGGGAATGTCTACCGTAGCCATGTCACAAACCCATTGAAGTCTTCTTGAAAGATTTTGAATGTTTCCTTATCCCTGAAAATAAGAATATCATAGATTATAGATATAGATTATAGCGATTATAGATTATTACATGCTTTCTAGGTCGAAGGAATATTGGTTATATTATATCTATAAAACTTCTCTCCATTAACAATATAGAACACAAAATATTAAATAAAATGCAGTACTTACATGGTTTAGCCCTTTGATTTGCCTTTTTTAGAAGTTAATTTAACGTGTTGTTGTAATGAATGCTGTTAACAAGAGGCAAGGTAAAAACGTCTTCTCACACTGATAATTTGAAATGAAAGACCGCACCCTTTACAAACCGGTTTTCAATGTAAAACCACAAATATCCACGCATTACTACACAATACGCTTGGCTTGTCAATGTGAATTTTACATCATTAAATTTTCGTTTTATAAAATTTCCTATTTGTCATACCACAGATTTATTTTTTTAGGGTCGATGGTTCGAGTCCCGCCGGGGATAATTTTTTTTTTTAGGTGTGATGGAGAAGAAAATCTTTTTAAAAAAGTAGGTTATAAAAAAGGGGGTATAACTGGAAATTTTTTTTTTCTACTATAAATTCAGATTCCATTCAGAAAAAAAATATTTTTTTCTCGTGTCAAATCATTCTTCATTCAGAAAATAAGAAGAAAAAAAAAATTTTTTTTAAAGGTGCCATTATGTGCGGTGTCTATTAATTTTTTTATTTTTTAGGGGTGTGGGTTCGAATCACGCCGGGGGATAATTTTTTTTTTTTTTTTTAGGGTGGTCTAGACTCGCCCAAGTACCGCACGTTATTTTTTAATGATTTTTTGGTTAGTGGGTATCAGTTTGTGTAATTATTTCATTATTTGATGATTTTGTTTGCTTATTGTTTGGATTGTGGTAAATATGTTAAATTATTGGGTTAGTGGAGGTGAAATGTGGTTATTATCACCTAAAAAGTAAAAAAATTAATTAAGGTGGTCTAGACTCGCCCAAGTATCATACTACTTGCGTAGTCACTGAATTGTTATTTTATCTAACAATGGATTTTATAAGTTTTTACAAGTCATAATCTGATTGATATCTATTATTGTATATGTTCCTTTAACCATAAAGAATTGCGTATTAACATAATGTAAATTTCAGACCTGTAGGCCATAATTCAACTTGTATTTTAACAAGGCAAGTAGTTAATTTGTCATTGAATAACTTTTTATAATATATCTTTGTTTTGAAAATGATAAAAAATATGATATGATGATATTACTAAATGATTATCAGTTACTGAAATATTGACATTTTAGTACACTTCCGGTATCATATAACACTCATTTCTGTAATGTGTGTATCTTTTTTGTGTTCGTGTTAATAACGACAACATGTTTTTCTTCACATGTCATCATTTATTTCGTTTTCTGAAGATAAATGCAGATACAATTTTGTTTTGTATTATAAATTTCATTTTAATCTAGTATAGACTAAATGTAAAGAAAACCTTAATAAGTTTACTTGAAGTTTCATGTCATGTACAAATGTTAGATAATATTATTACATGTATGATTATATGATTATACTTATTATGACTTATATATATATAAAGTTTATAATAAGTATCATCAAAAGTTTTAAATAAATAATAATTCATTGTTTTTGTTAGTGTGATAATCATTTATTGTTATGTAAAACATGAAACATATTATACATAATAATAATAATAGTCCCTTTACTCTATATACTTGAAGTGTTGTTGATATACGCAATGAAGATCCGTGCATATCACCCGAATCGAAGCAAATTGTGTAGCCCAGTATGAACAGTCGTAGAGTTGTTTAATCAATCATGTCAATGTTACTTGACAGATTCTCAAACTAACTAGTTTATGAACTAATATAAAATCTTAAGCATGTGTCCCAGATCGAGAGACAGTTAAAGTATGATCAAATCCATCGTATATTAAACAGAAAACAAAACAGTACAGGGAGATAAATTGCTATGAAATTTTATTCAACAGTAATAAATTGTTTTTTTTTTCGATGTTATTTACTAGAAACTTGTACATTATAAAAAGGAAATTATACCAAAAGTGTCCTTTCAAAGCAAAAATGAAAGTATGTGAAAGTAGGCACCATTTTTTTTTACATCTCAAAAATGTTTAGTGTTTGCTTTTACAAGGATAATACCTTTAGCTTCATAAAATGCTTCGCGAGTGGATAACTTTGTTCCTTATTTACGTGCCTGTCCTTACTCGTGAAAACAATAACACCGTTTTAGGTATAAATACAACCTTTTGAGTATGAGTACAAAAAGATGTCTAATTCCACGACCTTTCTATTCTATCGTCGCTAACAACGTTTTCCTATAGATATATTGAAGATCGTGTATGTTGTTATAAATAATGTAACAACACTTAAGTTAATTTTTATATGTTTTTATAGTAATTATTCTTAAACAAATTTCAAACATCCAAGAATATGTTAAAATTTACTGCAAATGTTTATACGCATAAATATATGCATTCATTTTTTATTGAAAAATTTGGCCGAAAATAAATATCTTATTACCTCCCTTTATTTTCATGAAAAGTAAAATCGGTAATATCTTAACTAATAATGTTTTTTGAAACTTACAATTTTAATAAATCTTCATTTAAACATCATATTTATGATATAAAACAATAAAAAATTGAGTAACAGAACCGTTTATGTAATGTATACGCAATTTGTATCTAATATTCCAAATGTGTAACCGGTAACCGATAATATTCAATACGTACACGATTTCAGACTGAAAAGAAATATTTTCACCGGGCATTATTCCTTTTTATATAAAATTGGAGACAGAAAAAGCAAAATAAGCATAACTTAGTGTATTTATAGGGCGCTATATTTAAATATGACTTCAATTTTGGCAAAATATAACACATAGGTAATAGCCAGCAAATAATGCGAACAATGTTTATATTATATTAAATTCTTATTATTATTAAGTGGTTCAATTTTTGAAAGCTATATATACCTGAAATAGTGTATGATTATCTCATAATAAAATCGAGACATATTAAAATATTAAAAATCATTAAGTTCAAGATGAACATGATATTTTACAATAACAACACATCAGACCTGATTAAAAGAAAATTTATGTATACTGCCATTGCCACTGTATAATATAAAACATAATCTCCTATGATACGTTAAAACTAAAACAAGCTTCAAAGATAAAATACATAGAACTTTATTTATTATACAAGAGGAATAACTCTTAATTACCAATTAACAAATAAAAAATATAGTCTGTGAGCTTACCTCCCCTTTGACAAATAATAATAAAAAGGCAGGAATAAATGTTGTTATATCACGAGATATCATCTTTAAGTTCATCTACACGTATGTACTTTGCTGTGCAATTTACTTTTTCAATATGAAACTTGTATGTATACAGCCTGGGGACATCTTCGTTATCACGGCCATTAGGTTCATAACATTAATTTCATTTTTTTTATATTTTCGGTAAAAGTTAATTGAATTTACGACGTCAATAAGAATTTATCTGTTTTTAACGTTTTTGTGTTGAAACAATAAAGTGGAAAAATACTGTACTTTTACGAACGGCAGCTTTTTATATTTACATAATTGTAAAATACTAGTTTGACACCGAAGTAAAATGTAAGTTAGTTAATAATCTTATTAGAAATAAATTCATGAAGCAAATTGTTATATTTTCTTAATCTTTTATTGAGATTTATAAAAATTATAAAAATTAAACTAAAGTGAATTAGTCGATAATATAGATCAATACTAAGATAAAAAAATATGTTCTATTTATTTTGGTCTATGTTATAATATTAAGTGTCATACAAGGCAAACAGGCCATGTAAGAATTATTATAGAAATGTTGATAAAACTGTTACATTTTTCTTGCATTTCTTATATCTTTCTTATATTTTATATTTTTCATTTAAGTAAAATGTAAGTTAATAAACACGTTTTTAGGAAGAAACATAATCATTCAAACAATCTTATTAAAAATAAATTTACGAAGCAAATTGTTACATTTTCTTAAATTGTTTTTGAGATTTATAAAATTTATTGAATTAAACTAGAGTGAAATTGTCGATAATAGCAGATCAGTAGTAAGATAAAAAGTTATGTTCTATTTATTTTTAGTCTATGTTATAATATTAAGTGTCATACGAGGCAACAAACCATGTAAGAATTATTATAGAAATATATGTTGATGGTACGTATAAGATATCTGATCTGATAAAACAAATTTAATTTTATGTATAGTGCCTAAAAGGTTGCTCAGGAGTTACCTATAATTTACTCATTAAAATGTTCATACCAAATCACTTAGAACTTTTGTCCACATATTTAACAAAAAATATTAAATTCATATAAACATCTAAATGATATGCTTTTATTGATTTAATAAACTTTTGAAATACTTATATGGTGGAATATGTGCCCATTGAATACCGATCCACTCTGTTAATGACTTATTTGTTGAAAATAGTTGTATAGTTAATTATTCTGTTGTTACAATTTTCATTTTCTCTCTTTTTATTGGTAGCTAGTATTGAAATTATTTTTCTTGCTTAAATCCTGCGCAGGCAAGAATATATGAACAGAGGAGAAAATTATATTAACGGATAAAATAAACATTGGTCATGACGTTTTTGCATCTTGTTTAATTTGTGTAAATCAGGGCGCCAAGTAAAATAGCTCACTGCAATGAGGGCCCGGTTAATTAATTATCATATAGGTATAACAAAATAATTTCTTTTTACGTATAAAAAACGAACAGCGTTATTCTTGAAAAAACATATATACTTTTATGCGAGAAAAGCGCACACGGGCGCGGGATTCCGCAGATGTCAATGCACTAAAAAGTGCATTAACCCGCTGTTAATCTAGCGACTCTTATGGAATCTGATATTAACATCTTTTAAGTAACACCCTTTTTAATTTCTTTTTAATTTTGTGGATAAATTATATACTATTTCAGATGACCCTTCCAAAGGCTGCGTGGATCGTGTTTTTGTTATATTCACTTAGCTTCTGTCAATTTTGTTATGGAAAATCAAAACGGAAATCACTAAATGTATGTATAGTGATTTATTTAACACTTAATAAGGCATATCTGGAATAATTGTTTAAATTGTGTTAAATTGTGAATTAAAGTGCAATTCGTATGTTTCCAGTGATTATAATTGCTATACAAACCCTTAACAGTGTTCGACTACAACTTAAGTTTGAATGTAACATTTCATTGGCATTAAAGGGACTCCACTGAGGTTTTTTTGATATGACGGGACTGGAAATATTTTTTTGAGATTATTACTCCATTTGATGTAGATCTATACTAATAACTTATGTGCAAACTTTCAGATCATAATTACTTGCTCCGTTTTTCCAGAATAGTTATTATAATAGTGAAAAATGACCCAAAATTGAAAAGCGTTTATTACGGTTTTCACTCAAATCGGACTGAGAATAGCACAAGCATATGATTTTCAATGTATTTCTTCTATGTTTCTTGGTTATATTTTATAAATATTTGTGTTTTGAGTGCTCATGTTTATCTATGTGAAAAATTAAATTTTCATGTTTTAGGCTTATAAACCTCAGTGAAGTTCCTTTAAAACTACTAGTGTATGATAGCAAGCAATCAGTTTAACAGTGATTTCCATATTATCCAGATACATTGTTCAGTTATACTGAAGCGACAAATACCGTTGAAATGTCAGTATGTTTTGTAACATGTTAATAAATTATAATTATGTGGAATGTTGAATTACTTTTTTCACAACTCTTTTTATGCCTGGTGATAGCAAACTATATATTTTTTACATTTATAGAACTAGCTTTTGTGGCACGTCATAATACGACCATACTGATACGAGATATTGTAAATAAAATTTTACAAAATTTTTGTTTTAGGTTTTGACATTCAACACATGGCTGCACGAGTCCCTTGTGGAAGCCTATGTCGGAAAAGATGCTAGAAAAGACAGAATAATCAAAGGCCTTAAATCTTCCAAAGCAGATGTTATTTGTTTGCAAGAGGTTTGAAGTTTGTGTTAAACGCTTTCTGTTTTTTAAGGTCATACAATTTACGAAGTATCTTATACTTTTATGTAACCAAATATACCATATGTATGTTTTCATGTTTTGTTTAAATCAATGCAAATACATGTATGTAACTATCGATGTTTATATGAAGATTTTCATGGTGGAATGGCCATCGAGATTGCTCTGCTTTTTTTATGAATGCGGTACGGATATTAATCGATAACTCAAAAATTGCAAAATATCTCCTTAAAAGTTGAAGCTTAATTAACTAATGACATGATTCAGATCATCTGTAATTACAAATTTATTGTTCAAAATAGAATATAGCAAGTAGGGATATACATACTCTTTTAACATTCTTAATATAACGTTCTTGTTTCGATTTAAAAGGTATGTGGACTGCTGCCCTATCATTCACATACACGATTTTACAAAAGACAAATATCGGAATATGTGTTTTGTTTTGGGTTTTACGTCACACCGACACAGTATAAGTCATTTGGCGAAGTTCCAGCTTTACTGGTGGAGGAAGACCTCATGTGCCCTTCCGTGCATTATTTTAGACACGAACGGGCAGATTGGCAGAACCACCGACGTAGCTGGATAGCTTCCTCACACGAAAGAATTCAAAGGCCCTGTCGGGATTCGAACCCACAGCGGTGAGGGGCAAGTGGTTTGAAGTCAACGACCTTAACCACTCGGTCACGGACGCCCCAATATCGGAATATGTTCTTTATATACAGTGAAAAAATCAATAAACTATGTATGCAAATATCAATTCTCTGGAAATTACAAATGACAAGGGGTACTCAAACCGATGCTCACGCTCACAATACAACAAACGTCGTTCGTAACGCCGAAAATAGACAAAAATGTCACCAGCTTTTTGTCCTTGTCAATAGTTCAATGTCTCCTAATCATGTAGACATAACCAGTTTGTGGTTATGATGATCACCTTGTCGATACATTCTCCGTAAAAACGTCTGAGAGTCGGCCAAACTTTGCTCTTTATCGTTATTTAAGTAACCACGGCACTCTACGAACATAGATTTAAAATGTGACATAAAATAGTGATTTAAAGCATCAATTTATTAATGTCATCGACCTATCTTTTAGAAATTTTGTTATGTACTGTAACAATAAAGTGAAATATATATTAATTCATAAACTTTTCAATACTGAAAACAGACTAGCGGTAATACATAATCGGGTATATAATATTAATAATTACTGTGTATCGTTATTACATTGAAATAAAAGTAATATACAGGTATGCAGAAAAATAAATTAAAGATTTTTTGTTTGTTAAAAAATTCAACTCTTTAATCAGAATTTAATGCATTCCTCATATTCTTCGGTCTTTATTTAGCTTTTGAGACAACGTTACTTACGTCGTAATTATATGCCGCTTTCTCCCTAGCCCCTTCCTGTCTGTGACCTTGTATTAGCCGACTTGGAAACACTTGCGCCAGCTTAAAACGAGTGACAAAATGGCAAATTTATTGACCTTCGTTAACTCTATCTTCTTGTATTTAGCTGAAGGAATATCCGCAATTAGGTTGCAAAATTAAACGATCGCGCGAATTTCTTGTTTTTCAACGGGCGTCATATTTTCAAATTTTCGCTACTGACAACTACTGGTCACCCTAAAATGACCGTTTTATTTTCTTTAACATTATTGTGAATAGAAAAAAGCAGAAATTGCGTTACCATGGTTATTTTAATGGACACGGCGCTTGAAGGGAAACAAATACAAAAAAGTAAAACTCATGTTCAGGCATTAGACACCCTTTCCTTTCATATCAACACAATTTGTTTTTATAAAAGTAAATAACGTTTTGAACATGCCCTGAAATGATCTGTCTCATTTGTATAATATTTTTCGTTTCAATCGTTTAATCTTTATGCCTCTGTATTAAGGCATTCATCGGACAAGACGTCGAAGATATTGTAAACGGTGTTAAGAAAGAATATCCTCATTCATTTAGCGAATTACATGACGATGTCAGCAATCTCCCGCCACAGGCAACGGAAAACACACGTAAGTCCAATGTTAATTGAAATAGTATGTTTATAAGCCAGTCTTTAATTATCGTTTAATTTTAATATTTAGTATTGTGGTACATTATTTTGTTCATTTCTTCTGCTAGAAATAGTACCTTCAAGTTTAGAAATGATGCAATTAGCGTATTAAACGTTTGCAATCATATAAGAATGTCGAGTTGTATTGCTTTTTGCTATCGTATACTTACACACAATTATAATAATTATATGATCTCCAATATTAAATTAGTAAACAGGTAATTTGTATATTTAATTCTTAATCATCAATAATTGTCATGTAATGCGAAATATTTTGATTTTTATTACAAAGAACGGTTTCCAAGTCGGTAGATGTAAATCCATAATCTTGATTAAATGTTTTGCATTTCATTCTAAAAATGATTTTGTCTAGTGATCTATCTTTCATTATTATCAGATATGAATAAATAAACATTTTGACCAGTGGTAGTGGCCATTCAATTCATTACTACCAGTTATCATAACGACCAAATGATTATTTTGAATTTCACATAAGGACCATACATATATAATGTCATTTTTATCACTTATAAATAAATGAACCTTTTGTATTACATTTAAGAACCACCGTGTGACGACACTCGTCTTAACGCTTATACAACATGTATTGCAACCAATGGATGCAATACTAATGACACGAAACAAAATGCAGGGTGTTTATTGGCAAATTGCTTGACACCTGCCTTTGCTTTATTTCAACTAGATAGTCAGGATTGCATCAATTGTTTATCGATGTCCTTATTAAATATCGAAGCGTAAGTTCATTTTTTTAAAAATTGTAAATAATTTTCCGTACATCATTGTTTTCATTATTTTTTGTTTGCTATCTAAAGACTAGATCAATCTTCATTAATATATATAACTATCATCCTTCATTTCTTTTCTGCAAGGTTCATGAATAATAGGTTACTACGAGAATAAATATTCCTTAGTTACTAATAATAAAGTTAACCCAAATAGGAGTCACAGTTTTTAAGTTTACATCGGAATATTGATAATTATAATGCAACTTAATATCACCTTGTCCTGTACACATTTGATACATTGATATAAACCAGATTTTTATCATTGCGAAAAATTGACCTTAAATCATTAAGGTTACAAAAAAACATCAAAATGCGAACCCCTTTAATCGTTAAAAATGTTCGGTTGATCTAGCCATTTTGTTTTATTCCTAAACATCTTACAGTTTCACTTTTGAAATGACTTAATGCTTGCTATTTTATCTTATCAATTACGCTTTAACGGTATGCTTGAATTGATAAGTAATACATTGTAAGTTATTATTCTCAACACTGTGACTTGAAATTACGAGTGACTTGAAAATGCGGGTATTCAATGTTGTATCACAGGTGTCAAAAGTTGCCGCCTCGTATTTACACTACATATTGTTTTGGTTTTTATGTCTTTAGGGTCCTTCATTCAAGAACTTAGATATTGAGAGTTAAATTGAATCTGACTTAAAGAAACTTCATTATCTATCATGAACATATAACAATTATAAACTGGTCAAGAAGTTAAGAGTTTTTCCTTAATTTTATTATAACAAGATGGCATCAGTGTTAACATAAACAAGACATCTGTTATTTCATTATCTTAATTACATTTTACAATTGGTCTACGGTATACCAAAAGTCCGAGAGTTGTATGTTTGATATCTTGTATGTCTTCTACATTTCACTTATAATTTATAAAATTTGATTGCATATAGATGGAATGAACGACGCTACCTTGATGTTTATTATAATGATATGCCAAAACATCCGATTGTCTAAGCATAACTCACGAACAATTAATGCTGTCCTTATATTTGATATATTTGACCGCTTCGATCTTGACGTTGCAACGAAATATTGACAACAACATTGAATATGCAACTTTTGGTTTAGAGGTTACAACGAGTAAAATACAAGCATGATTATTTATTGATATTTTGAGTGAACGTATGCGTGTGTTTATGTCAAAGCACGCGTGTGTGTTGAAGAGATTTTACTTTTATTTATTTTGTGATATAGGTTTTCATATCTAGATTATTATTGCATTTTATTACCTAAACTCTTTATCTTAAGCAATCATGTATGTTTCATGACAATTAATATTATTTATCAATAACTTTTGATATCATTTTAGCGTTTGGATATTTCCTTTGAGCCGTTTTGCCTTAAGATTTGACCTTCACCTTATGAAAAATGTTTTATTTCCCGTAATGGTAATGGAATCGTTTTGTTATTTACTGCAGAAAACATTGTTGAAATTGTAAAATCAAATGCAATCAGTATGCAGGCAGAACCTTTCTATAATATAATTCTGAATTAATATATTTTTTTCACGTTTTCAAGGTGCTCAGACAAAGAAAGTGTTCTTGGTGGAAGACAAATGAATAATGGTGGTCTACTACTGTTGTCAAAAAAGAAACTTCGCAAAGTTTCATATACTGATCTCTATCCTTCAACAAAAGAGTCTATTTCAAGAGGGTATCTTACAGCTGAGGTATAAATTTGGTACACTTACAAATTACATTCCAACATATTGCATTTTACATAAAAAGTATGACATTCAATATATTTACATACATGTACTATCCTATAGAGTGTCATTATGCCAGTGGTTTAAAAAACTATTTATATTTTTGGCTTTGAATTGTTTGCTTAAACTTTTTCACATTGAATTTCATGCTATTTTAACAGATAAAAGATTTTGCACCAGTTGTGTGCGCCCATTTAAGCCCTGCCACGTCCGACGTGTTTTTTGAACGTGAGTATTTTTAACGTATTTCTCCAATAGAATTATCACGTTTACAAAAATAAATTATTGTTTTCTTTTGTTGTTGTTGTTGTTTCGTTTTGTTATTTTATTTGATTATTGAAGTGAATAAAGTGATAACAAACTAATTTCTGTAACAAATGTACAGATTATTTCGACTAAAATAACTTACTAATTTGTAAATGAATTATAATATTCATCTCACATTATTTATAATAACTCTCATAAATTTCAGCTGATCTCCTTAATGCAGGATTCACTTCATATTCTGAAATGAATACATTTGAGGTAAAAGCTCTCGTCAAACGTTTTGCGGCGATTAAGCCTGTTATACTGTTGGGCGACATGAACACAGGACCTGCATTTAAATCAAAACAAACTGCTCGCCTCCCAAGTAAGCCTGCCAAAATTTTTAATGATTTAATTAACATTTGTTAGGAACTTTTATTAAGTACAAGCTTAAGCTTTTCTTCTACAATAAATAATTGCAATGAGCAAACATTGACTTTGGGTTATGAATGTTCTTTTTAAACATTATGAACAAATATTCTGTTTAATTGTCGCGAGTGTATGAAAAATCTTTAACCTAATCCATTCTTGAAGCGAATGTTATAAGTAGTTGCCACTAGTCTTGAGCCACGTTAGCATACATATCCGCTCCGCTTTGCCAGACTCTATGCTTTCCGTGAAATATCATTTTTATCCTCAAAACTGATCATGGACAAACGTGAAAAATGGCAAAGTTCATCGAAGAAAACCATAAAGTTTGAACTGAACATTGATTCGGCATTACAGCGCTTGTGATTGCTGTTTATACATGTTTAAAATCCATCTATTAATATCTTGCTTTTTAATTAATAAATATATTCAATGCTAAATCAAACAATTAAAACATAGAAATATTTACAATTACTGACAGATAACTACAAAAGACTTCAGAAACAGTTCAAAACGAGACCAGTGAAAGAATACACATTCAAACATCCTATCGATGCATCCAATCAATCGATCCTTGACCATATATTTGTTAAGAATCTTTCAATTCTTAAAACTAAGGTGAGTGCCATTATTTGTAAAATGTCATGTACACGCATTCAATGTTTATGGTTTCAAATAGTGTTCCTTCAAATAAGAGTATTCGTTTAAGTGTCGGAGTATTCTTGCTTGCTGGCAGGCTATCTTTCGTTTTCGCATAAACTGTTCATTAACTGACCATATACTGACAGACGGATGTTAAAGAATTGTTTGAAATTTATAAAGAATACTTCTAAAATGCTTGAATAAAGCAAATATGGTAGTAAATTAGGTACAGAACCATTTCTAATCGTTTGTTTCGGAAAATTTCATTTAGTTCACGTACAATATTCATGTGTGTTATATAACAGAGACATCTTAAATATGTAACTTTTGCGAATTGACCATAAAGTTATCCAAGCAATATAATTTTAGTGTAGAGAAATTTTGTGAACACATTTCATAACATGCAAAATAGCATGCATATGGTGATATTAAAACAAGAGGGAAATGTTGTTTATGAATCTAATAATATGTATAAAATAGTAAACTTACAATATGTGAATCATACTAGTCTTATAGTACATTGAGAAGATTTGCCTAAGTTGCTTTATTACTTGCTTTTCCACATGATAATGTAAGAATAGGGTGAAAACTTGGTGTTTTTGGTGTTAATGATAAGATAAGCCGATTTTGATAGTAACAAGTTGACGTTGAGGGTATTACTGAGTTGCAAAAGGAAGTTTTCACATGCTTACATGGTTTTATTTGTATATGAGTAAAGCAAAATATTGGCATATTTGGTATCGACATTTGCAGACTGAAAAATGCTTCATGTTTAACAGGCACTTGGTAATTATTAGAAATTTAGGAAAGTGTAAAGATCAGATTGATGAAAATTAAATGTTGAAGAGTTGCGTCCTTTGTAAATGCGTTTTTTGCCTTTAGATACTTGATCTGAAATTTGCCACCATTTAGCTCATGCTAAATAATAATAATAATAATGATAATAATAATAATAATAATAATAATAATAATAATAATAATAATAATAATATTTAGCTCACTTAATGATATTTTCAAAAAACCAAGTGCACACTTTCTATTCCAACTGATTACTAGTATTTTATTGTGTGTTTCTATTATATAACACGTGTTGTTAACATTTGGTATTTTTCAGAGAGCTTTCGTTCCAAAAAAGGGCGAAACTCCTATGAGTGACCACGTTGGTGTGATGTCCACCTTGAAACAACAAAAATAAATCAAGATGAAAGAAATAACAATATTTGCTTGTCTAGCACGCATTCACTGTCTGAGTGTATTACATGTCATAAGTTTCTCTTATGTGAAATTAGTCTTTGGAGCAAAATGTATAACATTCATTTCTTTTACTATAATTAATTTGTTATTTATTTTACATTCAATATTTTAAGATATCTTCCAAAGAATAGTAAAAAGAGCGTACACATATGTGTTCTTTATGTTTATCAAAATCAGAGTGTATCAAGTAATGTTTTCTTTAATTTATTTTGTCCAATCGAAACTAGTAGAGTAATAAATACAGTTAAAACTTGACCCGGTGTTCACGTTTGTTCCTTTATCTTCTTTTTGTGCATGCCTAAATTTTTAAAGTTTATAACATCGAAATATGAAAATGATGAATATCATCAATTTTTCAGACCGATAATTTGTGGAAAACATTTAAATTAATGATTAATGATATTTTACTTGGATACAAACGTATATTTCATAAAGCAGCTGTCGACGAACCAAAAGTTGCGTACAAACTATTTGCTAGCACACAACTCAGCTATCCATAAATCATGTTAAGAATAACAATATTTTAAAACAAATGGAACATATTCGTTTTGCAACAAACTGCATTCAATTAAAGACGAAAACGCTGGTTTGAAGAATCTTTCCAGTAACAATAAACAACGTGATTGTATTATAATGATATGATTTTGATAACTACAAGAAATTTCACAAACATCACGTAATTCATAATTGATCAGATAAACATTGGTAAAATTTCAAAACCTTCTGTTGACTGTTTGACGTTATTAGGCTGAAAAGATAAAAAGAAACAGAATATTGCCTAAAGCAAGTATTGAACTTCGCCAAACACATTATTTATAGTTTCATATCATAAATAAGATCCTCAGATTTTGATTCATCAATTTTGAAAGTTCCAAAAAGCATACATTATAAAGTTATTACCGAATTTAATATTTCATGTAAATAAAGGGAGGTAATCAATTTTTATATTTTCTATAAAGTCTAGTTCAAATTTTCCAATAAGAAATGAATGATTATTTTAATGAGTACATATAATATGTACAAATATTTGAAGTACTAATACACAAATTCTTCAATGTTTGAAAATTGTTTTATAAGCATAATTACATAGATACTATATAATTACACTTACGTGTGGTATAGAACCTCAATTACAACATACAGGATCTTTAAATCTATCAACGTAACTAAACACATTAGACAGATGTTAAATATTTATCTATCATATAGTGTAGGTCATTCTTTAACGAAGTCTTAGGATTTAAACAAGCTATTTATTCATTCAATTACAATAAGATACAAAATTTATAAAGAAAATTACGTCTATGGATGAAAAAAATTGAGACGCGAATAGTCGAAATAAGAAGGGACGAAGACAAAATCGCGAATATACTAACTAGGACGACAGCACCAAAACATGAACAGGCAAAAACGTGAACACCTAAAAAATTATGTAATGTTGAGGTGAAAACATGATAACGAACATACAAAACGTGACAAATTCAAGTCGATAATTGTTTTGTCAATTGACTGATGCCTTTTAATATATATGCGTATTTTGATTGCAAAACACCCCGAATTAGCCATAGAAGTGTTGCAAAAACACAATACGATCCTCGTCAAAACTAAATCCGATTGGCTGGATAAAATATGACAAATATTTCAACATAAAATGTCACAATATCCAAATACAAAATGGTCAAATATTGATGCTGAGATATGGTTGGTAACTATGACGAATCTAAGCTCAAATCAATCAAACAAACAAAATCACTGCTATGAGTTCAACGGTAAAGGGTTTTGTTCAAAACCGGGTTGTCAATACTTGCACAAATGTAAAAAATGTACCGGGCCGCATTCTGCTTTGCTTTGCAGATCACCTACACCAGGATTTGTAAATGCTTATAGATCTAATAGTAATTTCAGCCAAAATCATTTCAGACCTCCCAGGTTTGAGCACTTCCCCCAATTTGAAACTCCTAGAGCACCTTTTGGGACCTAGGCAACACCCCAATAGATACTTTGCGTCTAGAAATGTGGCACAAAGGTTATAATAAGGAGAATGCAAATGTTATACTAGTATTACATGGAATCAGGGAGGGATTTAGGCTGTAATACAGTGGTCCCCACTGCGAATTTACGGCAAAAAATCTGCAGTCTGCGATTAAATACCCGGAAATTTTAGCAGAAAATCTTGAAAAGGAAGTACAATTAGGACGCTTTTTAGGTGCCTTTACAATCAAACCATTTGCAAACTAACGTATCAATCCAATTGGGTTAGTTCCCAAAAGTACAGGTGGAATGCCCCTAATAACTCATTTGTCAAATCCTTATAATGGAACTTGTGTCAACGATTTTATTGATCGGATTTTGAGTACATCTGTAAAGATATGAATATGCCTATAAATGAAGATAAATCAGATGGCCCTAATACAATTATCACATTTTAGGCATAGATATTGATTCTTTAAATATGAAAATAAAAGTTCCCTTTGACAAAATAAATAAAGCAAAATCATTGCTATTGGATGCCTTGGTAAACCTAAAATTAGATTAAGAGAACCGTAATCAATTCTTGGCATTTTAATTTTTTCACAAAAACAATACCAGCAGGTCGTACTTTTAACTGTAGATTAACCTGCACAGTGTCAGGCCAAGAGATCTTACCATTATATTTGCTTGAATAAAGATCACAAGGAAGATATTAGAACTTGGCTGCAATTTCTTGATCATTTTAATGGTGTGTCAATATTCAGTGATCAATACTGGTCGTCAAATCATGATCTTGACCTTTATTCAGATGCTGCTGGTAACAGGCATTTAGGCTTTGGTGCTTACATGAACGGGGAATGGATAATTTTTAAATGGCCGATGTTACTCTTCTTGAACTAGTCCCTATTCTATTGGCCTTTTACACATGGAGATCAAAGCAAAGCTTAAAGAGGAAACAGATTGTCATCAATTGTGACAACATGAGTCTTGTGCAGACTCTTACATCGCGAAATCTGAAAGTCATGATTCTGCTTGTTTTGTTATTGCTTTATTATAACAATATACAAATAAAAGCAATTCACATCGTGTCGAGGAAAAATGATATATGTGACGCAATAAGTAGATTACAATTCCGTAGACTGCAGAATTGCTTGCCTGTAAATGCTAGCAAAACCCCTCTCTCTATCCCATTTGATTTTCAGCAATTTATCAACATGAAATCATTCGACTGGTAAACATGTCTTTAGGTGAGAATACAAACAAATGTTACATGCCGGGATTAGAATCATTTTGGAAATTTAGAAGTTCAATGCTCTATCCGAACGTTTGGCCACCCAGTCTAAATGAAATCGCAGAATATAAAGCGTTTATGTCACATGGCGGATATGCATATAAAACGGTAAACTGTCACATCGCTGCCATTAGCTATGTAAACAAAATGAATAATTTTCAAAACAATACTAAATTTTTCATATGAATGAACAGATTACAAAGCAACGTCGACAGACTCTCGCAGGCCAATCACTCTGCACCTTCTTAAGCAAATTATACATAGCTTGGTGTTTATATGAATGTCCGATTATGAAGCATTACTCTTCAAAACAGCTTTTTTACTCGCATTTTTGGGTTAATGCGCGTGAGCGAAACTGCATTTTTCTGCAACGAAATTTAGTCAAATGATTCATTTGTTCAAATACACATAAAATCATCTTAAACAGATCAGATGGGTAATGGTCAAACTATACGGGTAAATTTTGAAAGTGAAGACGCCGTGTTGCTCAAACGTACTTTAGAAAATTATCAAAGACAAATAAACTTGCCGTTCAAGGTCAATATCTATGTCATGCGAATGGAAAGCCATTAACCCAATACCAGTTTTAGCATGTTTTACGCAAATCTCTATAATATTTGGGACAACCTCTAAACATTTTTAAATCACAATCATTTAGAATTGGTGGAGCCACATACATGTTCAATAAATGCATGTCTGAATCAGCAATTAAGCAGGCTGGACGCTGGAAGTCAAATGTATATCAGTCTTACATATGAGTATAAACCAATCAACTTCATTGTTAATTTTAGGTCCTCCCGAGGTTTGAAATATAGGGTCTTCAATTATCCGAGATGCCTACTATTATTCCATCAAACAAGGGTCAAAACCTTGGATTGGATCTCAAAATAGTCATAGCGGCACCATTTATTAAAAATAATTTTTGTTGATGTTGTGATAGACGCCGCTATGATAATGATGGTCGAGATGATGCATATATGAATAATAAAAATAATAATAAATGAATTCAAAGTTCAGGCATTAATATTTCATTAATATAATTTCAAAACTTATTCTGGTAATATCTCCGATGTCCGGAGAAAGATACAAAATGTATATGCAGTATAAATACAATTTTATCAGTCGGCGATTATTCTGGCGTCCGAAGAGACAATTGAATGTCCAAATTATCCGGCGCTGTTGATCGATGTCCGATCTTGTTGCCGATATCCAGAACAAGTTGAAATGAATATATATGAATATATATTAGTATATTTGAAAGACAAAGAAATTACCATAGTATAAAAATAAACAATAATTTATAATTCTTTACTAGGATAAAAGTAGGACCAACATAATATTGATTTACATTCATACTGAGGCATTGTACAGCAAATTGGTCAATATCGTTCAAAGATATTACAAGGAAATCGGCACTTCTTCAGATTATATCTTTTTGAAGTTCCCTACATCACTAGTTAGATAATTTAGCAGCGTGCAACCTATAGAGTTTTCGCATCATTAATATCTTTTGGTTGAATATTCAAAAAGTAAACATCCACTTTCGTCGGAAAGTACCTCATGGGGATATACATGGGAAATATTTACGAGACAGACGATTAAAGCATGAAACATAGTATTTTTTATCGATTGTTTAAAATTTCAAGAGCAGTAGTGAACAGTTTATTTAAGAATTCTTTACCTGAACATATGCCCATGTGTTTTGTTACAAATAACAAAAAATTAAGGATTTTCAGCTTCTTTGCCCAAGATTAAAATTATCTGGATTTGCTCCAATATTTCCAATACAATGACGTAATTGCTTTTGAAACCGATAAATAAATAGTCTTATGTAATATACGACCCGTCTTTTAATATTGAAAATATAAGATTTTGTTTTAATCATTTAAACCCGCCATTTATTCAGAAGCGTACACGGGACATTACTCTGCTTCTTTTAATCTAAGTCTTTCAATTTGGCTGATTCGTTCCCTACAGCAAATTAAATCAAATG